GTGTGTGTCCTTGAGTACATTGCTTTACCTTCCAGAGCACTGGTCTAACCATTTGTAAAACAGGTGGGATACTGGTGCCTGTTTTGCTAGATGGTTGTGTAGCTTAACACACACATGCTTATGTGCAACTGAGACAGTGCCCAGCAGGAGTACGCCTGAAGGCGTGGTTGCTCTTAGAAGCTAAGTGAGGAATTGGATATTGGCGTCTGGCCTCACCAGAACCCCCAGGAGAAGAGAAAATCTCCCGAGGCAAGTTTTTCTGGCAGGGGCCGGAAACATGCTCAGAAAAGTAGGACATCAGTAGGAAAAAAAGATGATTGAAAGGTGACCTCATGTCCCAAGGCCAGAAGTCAGGAGGGGCTGACTATTTACTGAGAGTCACTAGACAGTTGTGTTAGGCTGGATTCATGCTGGCCCTGATCATGATCCTTCTAGAAAATCTACTAGAAATTCTTGAAAAGAACATCTTACAAGGTGGTTCACTCTGTCCCCTTCCCAAGGCCCACGCCTGCTAGCAGATCAAGGTCAATCAGATGCTCCCATAGCCATGCAATGAGAGAGAGAAACCCAGCCACTACGTGGGGGCCTCTGGGCACAGGCAAGGAAAAGCCGGGCTCCACCCACGCTGTAGCTGCCGGAGCTGTGCACGGCCATGCTTATGGGCAGCGGAGGCCATGGTAAGCCAGTGCCCTGCCGATAGAAAGAAGCAGACTAGCGCAGACATCTGGCAAAGAGAGACCAGGAGGCCTCCCTTCCACCACAGAGAGAAATGCCAGCACATTAAGCAGCCAGTCCCCGTCAGGCCCAGTGCTGGTGCCGGGGGAGCAGGAGTGAACAGAACAGATGAACTCGCCCTCCTGGGGCTTCCAGCCCCATGGAAGACAGACTTAAGGTAAGCCAGGTAAGTCTGTGCAAGGTAACTCCAGCAGACGTTGACAAGTCCTGCAGGACATGTCCCCAGACAGCCTTGGCCGAGCAGCTCTTCCCCTTCTCTCCCTTGTTCTCAGAATAACTGCAGAATGTGCTGAGCACGCAGCATGCTGAGACAGGGGGACAGTCCCAAATAGCCCAGGCTCTGGCCCCGTCCCCCTAGAACAGGATGCCCTACAACCCTTCCACCCAGCGCATCATGTAGGCCTCAGTGCATAAAAACGGGTCCCTAGCTGCCATGCAAGTGGGGCACACACAGACCAGACTCCATTCGCCCTGGGCAGCTTTCCTGAACCCTGGGGGACTGGCTCACCATGAACCCTAGGCTCCCGCTGCCTGTCTATGAGCAATGACATTGCTTCACCTGACTTGTGTGAGTGTTCTGTCTCCTTGGACTCATGCAAGTCATAGAAACTGCAGCCCAAGAAGCAGTGGGTGGGAGGGTTTGGGCTCCTATTCCCGCTGGTTGGCACTGTGAGATCTGTGCTGTCCTCCATGCAGTGGGAGTCCTCCCTGGGACTTGTAGCAGGTGCACTGGGACCGTGCTTCACAGTGCCATGGGGATGAGAGACAGGAAGTCGGGGAGGGAGACCCAAGGAGGGGGAGACATTTAATAAAGACTGAAAGGAAGGGAGGGTGTGCAGGTGGCTGCCTGGTCTGTGCCCAGCCTCAGGACCGTGAGTCCCTGTGACTGAGTGTGCAGCTTGGCTTCAGGTTCCACCCGTGCACAGTTCCCTTCCAAGCCTGGGAGGGCCCAGGAGTGTATTCATAAGGCTCTAGTTCTAGTAACACTTGCAAAGGAAGATATTTTGTATTCTTTTTCCTTGGGAGAAACTCCGTCCCCTGCTTGGGTGTGTTCAGAGCCTGCTTCATTCCCCTGGGCTGGTGGGTTTCTGTCGCTTGCAACAAAATGGTCTCCAGAGAGGAGACAGGACAACACTCAGCCAGGAGAGGACTGGTGTCTCGGGGGAGAAGGCTTGGGGACACTGGCCTCATCCACCGGGGCTCCCTGCACAGCAGACGCGAGAGCAGGGCAAGGCTGATCACAGAAGGACTGGGGGAGGCTGAAAGGAGATAGATGGGTCTAGATGATGAGGCCTGAGGCTGAGGGAGAACTCCAAGCTATAGGGTGGCCCTGGGGCCCTGACCGCCCTCGAGTTGGTGGGAAAGTGAGGTCCAGGGAGGTCTGGGGGGAGGGTTAGCAGTCAGGAAGCAGGGCAAGAAAGCTGAAGACGTGGGCTCAGCTTCCACGCATCACTGCAGCACGGCTGTTGTGGGACCCCACCCGCCCTAGGGGACCCCTCCCCAGGCTCACCCAGGCCTATCTGCACATGTATGCCTGGTCCTCCTGCCCATCCTTGCAGGAAGGCCACCTGGGGTAACGGGAGTGAGGGGACTATGAAGCCAGGCTTCACCCCATCGGCGGACCCAGGCCTTTCCCTGAGCTTCGGTGTCTTCACTTGTGACAAGTGGCTAACATTGCCTACATCAAGGACTGTCACCAGGAGGAACAAAGAAAACAGACATGATGTGTCTAAGGTCGGCGCTAGCCTCCTTCCTTAATGCCGCATTGATACCTGCTCCCTCTGCCACCTGGGGTCCCACAGAGTCCCTGGAGGGATCCCTGGCTCTGGAGTTCTACTCCACGCATAATCCATGGGCCCCCAGCTTGCAACACGTGTCCTGAGTTCTCCAGGCCGTGCACTGTCCTGAACCCCACCATGCATGAGCTCAGAGCATGCAGAGCTCAGTAGGGAACAAACCAGCATCTCGCACCATCTAGAACATGTGTGACCTCTGCCTTTTGGACAGCGCCACAGTCATGGCCCCTACTGTGGCTCCCCGCCATACCTGATTCCATGATGCCATAAGGCTGAGATCCATAAACACATGAGACAGTCCTCTGTGGAACTGGTCAACAACATCCACAGCAAGAGTGGCCAGATGGCCGGAGGCTGCGTGGTGGGCGAGGCTCACTCCAGCCACCGACAGCTGCAACACGGAGAAGGGGCCGCTCAGACCCGTTTCTGTGGAGGGGCTGACCCGCCATCCCACATGACTTGGGCTGCAATTAACTGTAAAACCCCTAAACAGACACTTGATCGCTATTTGGCATTAATTCCACAAAGAGAGAAAACTGCAGTAATGTTGGAAGTAGCTGGTGCATAATCAATTTCCTGTCGAAAATTTCTTTTCCAGGTAAATACACTTTATTGTTATTAATTTTCACAAAGAAAATGCTACCTCCAGCCAATTTCTCGGTTTTCGCCAATAGCTCTGCACACCCTTCTCCATCATCCGGTAGAGCTGAAAACACAGGTGACGCAGGCTGAGCACCAGGAGGAGCAGCTGACAGCGAGTGCAAGCAAATGACACAGACAAGAACATCACTGAAACGTTGGTTTGCCCATCGCGGGTCTTTGTCATCTTGTGTCCCAAGGCCTAGTGTGACACCTGCTGTGTGATGGGGACACGACCAGGTGAGGGTGCGGATTGGGCGAGTGGGTGGGGACACGTCCTGTCTGGTGGAGGCGCCCAGCCCAGTGAGGCCCTCTGTCCCGTGCTCCTCCCGGAACTCACCTCGGGAAGTACGAGGTGGTACCAACAGGCTGTGTGGCTGCGGAAGACGCTGAATGACTCCACCAGAGATGAGGGGACGAGACCCCCCGTGGGGAGAATGTCCACCCTCAAGGACACACTCGTGAAGAGGCGGGTGGGAGCGTTGTAGAGGCTGAAGTGCACAGACATGGCCCTGGTGCTGCAGTCAATCCACTTGCTGGCCCTGAGGCCGGTCAGGGCCGTGTGGGCTTCGGTCCTGAAAAGCAGCCCGGGTTGCGGGGAGGGGAAGGTTTGAGGTCCACAGAAGCGTCCAGCAGGCCCCACACCAGGACACCTCAGGCAAGCCCTCACAAGGATGAACACCGCCTGGGCCTCTAAGGGCTGGACAGATGGTCTCTGCATCTTAGGGACTCCTCTGGGGCCGGCCGTCTCTCTCCCTGCCCACCCTGTTCCCTGCTGCAGCCCAGGGGTCCCCAGGCAGGAGGGCATCCTGGAGAAAGGTGGCCTTCCCCTTCCCACCCATACAATGTGAGGGCGACATGCCCCGTACCTCTCCCATGGACTCTAGATGTTCATTTTTCTCTTTCTGCAATGGACCCTATCATTGGGGAAAACTACTTTTCACTGATACATACTTAGCAATGAGTAAAACATTTCCTCGTTTTTGTTTTTTTTTAGTATTCCTCAAAGGCACACATTACTGTAACTGTGTCCAAGACCACTGGTGTTACCACCGATGTTAGCCCAGCCCCAGCCCAGGGAAGCAGGCGTGGGGTGGTGGGTGTGGGGCAGTGTACCCTGGCTGGACAGGGCGGCTGCCCGACAGTGGGCCCGGCCGCAATGCGGGATCACATTTGTTACGTGCTGAAATGCCCAGTCTTCATCTGCACGAGGCAGGCAAAGCAGTGCCAGGCCTACTCCAGAGTTGGGAGGGGATTAAAGGAGACCACGTAAACACCCTGCTCAGCAGAAATCAGCACAGGACAAATGTCCATTATGTTCCATGACCTCCAGCTGTTCTGGCAACAGCTCTGCTCTCTGCCACACACTTGGAGTCTGATGGCCTGAGTGTGGGTGTGTCACACCCTAATGTGTGACTCTTTCATCACTTCATAACAAGGACAAGTCTTGCACCAGCCCCTGGCTGTGGTGGGCCACCTCTCGCACCCACTGGGAACTGCACCTGCTGCAGACATGCCACTTCCAGCGATGCCCGTGCTGGGCAGTGACCAGCATGCTCGTGTGAGTGCTGGCCTCTGAATCACACTGACCTTGTTCTGCCCAGGCTAAGCACACAATCCCCCCTTGCCCTGCAGCCCCCTAGACCACTCGGGGTCATGTTTTGGTTCTCCGTGTCTATCATGTAGGGGTTCTCAGGGCCTCCAACTTCGGGGCTACGTGTGGAAAGAGGGTCTTCAATGGATGCTGAAAATGGCCTGGGAGGCTGTAGAAAAAAACCACCAGTCAGAAGCAGCAGCAGATCCCTGTTCCCAAGACCATCCTGCACTCTGTCCTGCAATGTGGCACTCTGTCCCCCTCCAAGGGTCCAAGGGCTCTCTGCAGCTCATCTAGATTCTCCCAGGCTATGGCTTGAGTGAGGGGATCAGGGCACCACCCACTGAGGGCTGGCACCTGAGACACCTGCCAGTCTAGGGCTTGAACAATTTGCAGGTTTTCCCATCACAGGATGATACAAGTAAAGTGCCCATCTCTGTTCACCCCCCCATTAGAAAAGGATATGTAATATTCCATTTTTAGATTTGTGCATTAATAATCCTGGTTTTGCCTAGAATGCCAGGTCTGTAAGGGAAAACAGTGAATCGAGCCAACCTGCAGCAGAATGGCAAGAACTCAAAGAGGCGTCTGGAAAGTCTGGCAAGGGGAGAAGAAAGCGGGGCAGAGGCTCCTGCTCCCCGCATTTCACGCCCTGACAATTTCACACCACCAGCCGAACTCCCAGAGAAGTTAAGATGACCTGCCAGTTTCCCACCAGACTTTTCTACTTCATTTTTAGCAGCAAAAAGAAAGAGAGCATCTTACCTTGCATGAACTGCCAGGAGAGACTTTTAGCTGCTTGATTACTGCACTGCCTATTAGGTAGCATTTTCCTCCAAGAGCTCCAGGCTAAAAGAAGAGATTACGAGGACAAAGATATTTTATCCTTTTTAAAGGGGGAGATAAAAAAATAAAAAGTGAGCAAGGAGTGGGTTTGTATAAAATGCATATTCGCTTTTTCTTCAGAACTTCGGAGCAGCCTCGCCTCCTTCTGGAAACTCCCTTGAAGCTCCTGTCTTAGCTGTTTGCTCCTCCTCTGTTCTGGATGCTCCTTGGGTCTCCTTGTCATGGCATTTCGCACACTGAACTGGAATCTTCTGGGCACTCTCCTGCACCCCTCAGCCCATGGGTTCCTGTGGATCTGCCATCCCCCTCCTGTCTAGCCAGGGCTTGGGAAGTGTAGGGATCCGGAAAACCAATGTAGCTGAGGAGGGTGTGAAGGGGGTGTGCGTTATGGGCAGGAAAGCAGTGGACGCTCTGTTGCCCAGGGTCCCCATGGTGGAGAGCTGCTGGCCTCGCCGCCTCTGCGGCCATTCAGGAACCTGCATGAATTTCTGATGGTTTCACCCAGTGTAATGTGGCTTTTCCAAAGTGACCTACTGCACAAAGGAAACAGAAAGCCCACCTGAGCCGTCGAGGAGCCCTGCAGGTACAAGCCATCCAGCAGCGTGGTCAGGCTCCAGTGCCACCAGTCATCGGTGCTTCTCAGGCCACCTAGGGGGTTTCTGGCATTTCTCCATGAAAGGACAAAAATAAAAAGTTGTTCCTGCATCAAAAGTGAGACCAAAAGTGTTTTTTCTTGCTGATTTTTCTCCCATTTAGATTTCAGGTGCTCTGTAGGAGCTTACCCAACGCCACCTGCAGCAGGAGGCACAGAGCCCTGGAACCCACTTTGCCCCTCAACAGCAGGAGAGGAGAGAGAACAGTGGACAGTCACCTGTTCACTCACTCACTCGATCACTCAAGAAATGCTACTGCACAAGGCCGAGTGCCCGGCGCTCTTCTAGGCACTGGAACAGAAAGTCAAATCCCTGCCCCATGTGGGAAACAATTGAATGAGATAAATTAGGAAAACATATACTACGTCAGTGATAAATGTTAAGGAGAAAAAACTAAGCAGAAAAGACAGACTGGAAGTGGTGGGATGGGAGGTAGAGATTTTAATTCCAGAGGCCATTGAAAACTTCAGTGCAAGGGGTCGTGTCAGAGAAGGTCTGGCCGATGGGGAAGGAGCCACATGAACCTCTGAGGGAGGGCGTTCCAGGCAGAGGGACGGCAAGGGCACCCACATGCCCGGAAGGGTAGGAAGAGTGTGGAGGCTGGCCAGGCTGGTGCAGGAGACGGTGCCGGGCCACATAGGCTGAGACACAGTCCTTCCCTTCCTCTGCACTGAGTGCCCGCCGGGCATGGCATTCCACCAGCCTGTGTGACTGGGAGCCTCAGAGGAAAAGGCACAGGTGAGGTGCAGTATCAGCACATAGTAGAGGGTCAACAAACTAGTCTGTTTTCTTTCCAATTAGCTGCTCTGTTGCACTGATTAGATATCTGCTTCACTTTTCCACCAAGGAACTGACTTATGGGAGTGCTGAAATAATTTCAAACTGACCAAATGGATCATTTTCAGCTTGCTCAGATGATGCGACGAGGCCATATGCACAGGCTACCTGCACAGGGTGGCACTGGGTGCGTGCATCTAGCCTGGGTGATGGCCAAGGGGAAAAAGAAAAAACTACTGTGTCTCACAGAAGGTAGAGTGCCTGTCGCTGAACCCCAACAAACTTTCCCAAGTGTAGCATCCCATGAAGGGCCACTGCACAAAGGCAAGGACGGTGCACTCCTCAACTCCCTGCAGCATGCGCAGAAATGGGTTTGAAGTGCTGTGTCATCCAGGCATCTCTCCAAGGAAAGGGGAGACCAAAATACTTCTCAGAGTAGGTGATTTTGTAGAAAAGTGAAAGGAAGTTAAGAAAAGATATAAACTCAAGTCATCCAATACACACAATTTTAATTGTCCTGCCTGTCCCAGAAACCAATCCAAGAACAGACTGACTATGAGTTCTTCAAATGACGGCTGTGGCTCTGATAAGCCAGCTGTGAGAGCAAGCTGGGCTGAGGACAGTGGGGTGCCAGAGCCGGCTCTCACCTGCTCCAGAGCCACTGTGCGCATCTCTTCCCAACACCATGTTTAGCCATGCCACACTGGCAGTGTGACACAGACCATGGTGGGAGCATTCACAGCATGGAAATTAGCAGGGCAGATGCTATAAATCTGCGATTTTGTTCTCCAGACAGCCAGTTGTTAACTGTTTTCCAGCATACCACTGAGACTATGTTCTCAGGCAAGGATGTGGAGCAGATATTCCATTAAGGGCAGACATGAGAGATAATTCAGAAAAAGGGTTTCAAAAGGGTCATGACAAAAATTGGACAATATAAAAGGAAAAGAAATCAAGGACAAAGAAATGTCATTATTGTATACACAAATAGCCTCAACCAACAATTTAGGTATCTATAAATGTGTTCAATAATTTCCATAGCATGTGTGAATAAAAGTCTAGGGAACTAACTTATCTGACTAGTTTATTTCCTTTTGTTACAGAGAGATTATCTCCCATCCATTCAAGTATCTGATCTTCATTGGTTTATACATTCTTAGACCCTAATGTATGCAGGCCTTTTACTGGGTGCTTGTTCCCAACTCTCTGCACTTCCCTAAAACACTTGTCAAGCCACGTATCAAATGCAGAGCAAGTTGGAGACCTGCTGAAGCATCCAGAGGGTGAGATGAAGAACAGAAAGGCTCCGGGAAAGCAGAATACATAAGGAGACAGACACAGAGTCCTAAAGGAAGCAGACATAGCTCCACAAGTGTTCACAGCATCAGAGGAAGGGAAGGACCGAGGAGCAAAGAGAGCGTGGAGAAAGGCAATGAGAAGGAGGGGGAAGTGAGAGGAAGAGGAAAAGGCTGCTGGTTAATCTTCAACCAAGAACGTGTTAATCATCTGCCCTGGGAAGCAAGACTCGTGGACAGACAAACCAATTGTACATTCACAGACTAAGATGCTCCATATTCTATGTTTTTACAAAATAAAGTACTGCAGATGTTATAGCCACGTTGAGTTTGTGTAACTTTCAGGGAAATATTATCACTTCTTGATGCTTGCTCGCTATCAGGATAACATTAAAGAAACTAAGTCAAGAGGAACCTGAAAGTGAGCCAGAGCCAAAATGTCCCATGCCCGACCACACACCTCCAGCCTCACTGCTGGCACACTCAGAGGCAGGTAGTGAACCAAGCAGCCCAAGAATATTCTGGCCCTGTATGGATTAATTACAGCCATTAAATAAAATAGGCCTGCAAAGCTAGCTAAACAATGCAAAAGATTAAATCGGCAGTTATTTTCCATTCATGGCGCTTGGGTAGAATGCTTATTTCATTTATCGGTGCTTTATTTGGTGGTTTATTTTTGTTTTGTTTTGCTTGGAATTTCATGAGGATTTTATTGAGTTCAGAAACACTTTAAATATGACTTAAATATGACAGAATCCGGGAGCCCAACTCCCTCACTTTGCAGATGAAGGTAGTAAGGCCCAGAGTCCAGGGACGCTCTGAGTCACCTGGAAAGCCAGTGAAAACTAGAAGCCCTGTCCTGTATTCGATATAATCCATTTTCCCTTCTGGGCCTCAATTCCTCTCTCTGGAATGCTGGCAAATGCCAAACCCTCAGGAGTTGTTGATGTTTCAGGATTGGGTACTGAGAGAAGGAGAGAGTGGTTGGGGGGGTGGATAAGCTGGAGAGTGTCCACTTTAAACATTCCATTACAAAGCAGGACACATAAATATCCCTGCCTAGTGGCAAAGTGTCCAGGGGCGGTGAGGTTTTGCACCTTTGTGGGAAATATAAGGTCTCTGCAAACCCATAGGGAGCCAACATCTCAGCGGCTATCTAAGCACATCAAGTCTCATGTGCACATGAGATACCTCACAAATATTATCTCAGCTGCAATACTTCTGATATGAATATCAACAGACAAAAATCTGTATGACAAATATGTCTAATAATGCTATCTTTTGAAATATGAGATAAGAAATAAACTATTAAAAGCCAGAAGTTTTACATGTTTAGATTTCCTTTTCCAGAGAGGGGCCCAAATTGTCACTTCGTTTTGCACACAGCGCCATCTGCTGGCACAAGCTGGACCTGCACGGATGGGAGAGCTGAGAAAGCTGGTCATTAATGGAAATAACTGTGGGCTTTGCAAATGGGAGGCAGAAAATACCACTTAGTTTTACTATTAGAACGCTTGGCAGTAAAATCAGGATTATTGAGCTATGGAGAGTCTAGACTCATTAAACCGGGACTTCGATTTCCAGGTCTCCTTATCTTGTTAGTGGGTAATATCTGGTTAGGGGAACAACATATGCTACTATTATCTGGCTGGTATTAATACCACTCTCTCTTGCAAAAGATAAAACTTAATATGTTCTGAAATAATAGATAAAATCAAATGGATTTTCCAGCCACTCACACTGTCCAAAAAAAAAAAAAAATTACATCAAATTGAATTACTTTTTCAAAGGCGACACATTCATAGAAACGCTGCAGGAATGTTTTTAAACATTCTCCAGAGCAACAGAAAGTCAACCCCGGAACACGCAGAATTATTTTCTTTCCCGCCACTGAAACCATAGTGAAGAACCAGTGTTAATTCATATCACACATTTCAGAATTTAAAGACAAACTGTCTCCAGCCCACTGGAAGGATTTGCAAGGCTCGATAGCGCCATCTACTGTCGGAAGTCCAAGATT